ACGGCCAACCTCTGACTGTATCTTGGTCACATTACCCAGCAAAACCCAGCATGCAGGTTCATCTGTAACAGTCCTGTGCCACAGATCAACACTGTTGCTTCTACATTAAACAGAAGAGCAGTGACGTGGGTGCAGGTCTCCACGACTCCGGCCTTACAGGTGCAGTTGGCGGCTTCAACCTTCCCTGTGATGCTCACAGTGACCCATGGCTGTAATGCTGGTTCATTCAGTCTTTGAGAGTGCAGGACCTGAAACACACACAAAGTTCATTTAAAGACAAGAACTATGAGCCAAGGCTGACATAAATGTGTTTAATCTACTTTATCATAAATGTAACAAAGTGTTTAGAAAGTTAGCACATACATGTAATTTTTCATTTCTTTATGTGTCCATCTATAGAACGCTGCATGTTATAGTGTTAATCTGCCTGTTCTCTGTCAGAAACCTACCTGCAGAAAATGAACCTAAAGTATGTAATGCAAGGATGTCATCACTTTAGAGATGGAGAAAGCATAAAGTGACAATTATGAATCACTTAATATGATAAGGAGATTCTGCAGGTCATTAATCAATGTATAAAACTAAAATAAAATGTACTTTTAGTGACACAAGATACAAATATGGAAGCAAGATGTATAATTAGAATTATTTATAATAAATATGAATAAATTAGTGCAATTTCTTTAACCATAAAGAATAACTAAATCCTTCAGGACAATGTCACATCAGTGCACTGAACTCACTGTGTTATCCCTCTAACAGCCTCCACATGTTCTCACTGTAGTTTCCCCTCATGAATGAATTTATGCTGCACTAATCTGAATGTTTGCAGGGAAATCAAACGCATTTCACACGCAGTACTCGAGCTGACTTACTTTTGTTTGAATGACGACTTGTACGCGCTGACTCCACAGACAAGGTACGAAAATATGTCAGGCTACGTCAATAGCGGTTGGTCTTCAGGGTTTCTACTCCACGGCTGTGTTTCATACGGGTCCACATTTCCAATGCACGCTATTTTCTGCAAGTACCGCCGCTTCGCCTCTGGACGCAATCGGTCTCTATACAGTCCATTCTCTTTTGAGCTGCTTTTAAGCATCTTTCTTGTAGTCGTCGTTCCAACAGTGTGTTTGTTTTAATTCGTAGACCCCGAAAATGGCGCTGCGCTCCCATAATGCATTGCGGCGTGACGTCAACTTCAAAGCCCTATAGGGTAGTTATTCGTGTGTTGCGTTCGTTTTACCTCGGAAACCTGGGAACCCAAACCTGGGAATGATGTCACACTCGAGTAAACGGCGTTCTGGTTAGTCTCGTCAGAGAAGCCGGGATTCCAATATGGCGACGCCTTCGAAAACGGTTGTTTTGCTAGCCCTCTACAAAAACAAATTACTACTAAACACATATTCAGCTCATCTGCAGAATTTCCGAGTTCCGAGCACAATCGAAAGCACCACGACTGCAGTTTCCGTGTTGGACGTAAAAAGCGCACGTGACGCTATGACGTAGGCTAGAATCTTAGACCACTGAAGCACTTAATCTACCATCATATTTTATTTATCTACATGGCCTGACTGGAGGAAATATTATTTTGGTTAAATATTGACTATTTGTGAGGCTGAAAATACTTTTAAGTTTGCCCGTCAGTACTGAACTGACGGGCAAACTTGCACAGTTGGTGCAGTTCAGCTGTTTTCAGTTAAGTTTACAAAGAATGGACAAACTGTGTGACAAACTGTGTTTATGTTGAACCATTTTTGCACTATTTTGATACTTACAGCTTGTAAATGGTCTGAGGCACAGTTTAATGTTGGCACTGCTAAAAGTATACTTTCTACCCATTTCAATGGCAAAAATAAATATACCTTTCAAAAGTTTCAACACACTGTATGTCGCGGTTTGCGATCCACTGCTGCTTCCTAGTGATACTACGTACGATGATAGTACTGCTGCATCAACCCCAAAATGCATTTATAGAGGTTTGAAACAATAGAAACAGATTAAAACAGAACGATAAAAAGTGACACATAAAACAAACATTGTTCATTTCTAATTTAGTTTCATTCCTTTCATCATTAACTTGCACTCACACTACTACACTGCCATTTTAGGTTCAGGCCATTAGGTGGCACAGTGCACTTGTGGCAGGATAGTGCTAACATGTAAGCAAGCTAGAAGACTGGCATCCTTGCTGGGTATTCAGTTAGTCGAGCAACACATTAATAAGAGAATTCTGAGAAAAACCAAAGTTACTTTCCCTAGTAACTAGTTACTCTGAAAGTAACGAGTAAGTAACCGAGTTCAAAATGTCTTCAAACCCATGCCCCAAAGGCACTCTGTAACTTAGTTCAGCATGAATCTACAGATCAGAAAAAGAGATCATCTTAAATAATCTCAGTGTCTCTTGTTGATCTGTTGTGAGGCCAAAAAGTTTATGAAGATGATCTTTATTAGCCATTACACTAAAGTTTTCAGAAAACACTTCCATTTGCAGAAGAAGTCAATTTTGCTCGTTTTACCTTCAAAGTCAGAAAATGACACCATAAATGGCTCCTGAGTGAAGGAACATGCACACGTCTGCACAAATGAGACTCATTTGATAACTCAAATAATTTATACAAAACAGGGTCCTGGTGTATCAGGAGTGTGATCTCCAGCCTCAGAGCATCATCGTTTGAATTAACAATTGTTCATCCAAAAACGTTAAGAAACTGTAGCCCTTGTACAAGTACATCCATGTACATAAAGTCACAATGTGTGCTCAAATAACGGTTGAATAAAACACATTTCATGCTGACAAACACAGTGCCGTACAAAATGACAGCAGTATAAGAAGAACAGCAAGACTAAAAAATATTTTTGATATAAAACACCCTAAAAACACACTCTAAATAAAAAGCTACCAAAATGGCGACATCCAGTTCGTGAGTGTTTTTCAGCTGCGTGGGTAATTTTTCAATTCTGTACACTGAGTAAAAAAAAAAAATTAAGAAAGAAATGAAGCAAAAACTACAAAAACAGTACATAGCACTTCAATTTAAACACATTACTCTTTCACATTAAAATTTGTATTTTACTTCCGAGTTTGAAAGTATATAGGCACAGTAATTTCATCCGTGAGCCATGTTTCGTCAACACCGTCCCCCTTGTCCTTCACGGCTCTGCTTTACCTCTCGGACAAGGTCGCAGTCTCTCTTCCAGATGCCACTGTGGAGCCACGAGCTGCCAAACATCAAAAAAATAGCTGGCTCTCAGTCGCAGCTGAAGTGAGCTTTCTTTTAAAAAAATTATCAGGTCAGTAAGACAATAAAACATCACTTAACTATTCTCAAGAGTCTCCCGGACGGCAGGAATATTCATACAAAGATGCCGCCTGTTATGCAGGAATAATCCAACTCTGAAGGGTTTCATTCCAAAGCTCTGCGTTGAACGCACATATTTTGTCTGAATTTCAGCACAATTAAGATACTCCTAAATCTCTATTTACAGGCACACACAAGAACATCTTGGTGCATACTTGTTTCAAACATTTGGGGTATGTTAAATAGTCACATTTACACTTTGATAGAATGGTACGAGGATCGGCCACAACATTAAAACCAGACAGGTGAAGTGAACAACATTGATCATCTTGTTATAATTTTCAGCAGGAAGATTTTAAATTCACTTTGAAACCCACCCACTCATCTGTTTTCGGGTCTGGGTCAGAGCTTCCAGCAATTCCGGGGTCTGCCTGAGGGCCTCCTTCCAGTAGGAAACACCTCCCCTAGGAGGCATCCTTGTCATACGCCCCTCCTGAACAACCCAGCTTCTTATCGTATCTCTAAGGGAGAGCCCACCCTGCCTTTGTAGAAAACTCTTACAGTGTCTGAAAGAATGAGATCCATCTACAGCACGTGGCCTTAGGTGAGAGTGGAAAGCAGATCAACCCGGAAATCACCACAAAAGAATACGGGTTTATCGTCCACTTAAATACTTCGGCAGGCAAACCAAACACCCGCTACATGGTAATGGCGTTTCCCGATGGCAGCGTTCTCCCACAAAAAGTGCTCATGAGCATATGAAGAAGCGCAGAAAACAACCTAAGGCGGTGATGGTACTCAGTTTGGGACAACAGACACCTGAAGAGACCATGGAAGAGTAGTCCCTCCTCTTAAAGGGTCTCAATCCGAACTCTCAATCCAAATCGAGCCCAACTCAAAACCTACAGAAAACATGCAGCAATCCAAGGACCTGCAGCAGGGCAGATCCGTGAAGGTTTTCATGGCTCAAGAGGGCCCTGCACATTATTCAGCTGGTGGTTTTAATGATGTAGCCGACCAGGTTATATAAATGTGTATACATATATATATATACCAAATTTATTATTCAAAATTTTTTCTCCAATAGAGACATTTAGAGAAACAAGTTCATTATCATAACCACTGAGGCTTTGACAAAAGTCTGTATACGAATTTCTCATCTTTCTATAATCATGTTTAGACATGAATGTAAATAATGTTCACAACTCCAATATTTGCCCAAAATCCCTTAAAGATTTAAGTCTAAAATTTGGCCTCTTTTTCAAAGAAAAGCAGAGACGGTGAAAAAAGCGTGATGGCTGATTTCCAGTTTCAGAGTCACGTGGTTTGACTATCACAACTGACTGAGACACCGGAACAGAAGTCAGCCACTGTTTTCTTAATTTTATGATCAGTACCTGTACTGCTGGACCTCAATGATCATTTTGTTCTAATAAATACTGACAGATAGGGCTTAAAAAGATATTACTTTGAATCTTCTTGTCAGTATTGCAGCAGACCAAGAAAACTCTGAATTCTTACACATCTGTAAGTTTAACACATGAACGGACTTAAATAATGTTGTTTGGTTAACTTTACTTTCATGCCAGGAGTTAAACTGTAAAGAGCTTTTTAATTAAATATTTTACAGCTGCAGCAGAGAACCTGTCAGTGCCATCTTCCTCTGGGCATGTCCACATCGGGCACCAGGTCTTCATTCAGATAAATCTACTTGGTTTGTATCTCTGCTGACACCTGCATTTGTATTTAATCGGGATAAGTAAACCTTTTTTTTTTCTTGTTCAAAAAAATGACCAGCTCTGCATATTAGATACCTCATTTTGGAGTGAAACTCTTCGACCTGTGATGTGGCAGAAAACAGGAAATATACAGAATGATATCAAGTTAGCACCAACAGTGCAGCAAAAGGCATTCGACTCGTGGAGGCTTGGCCTGGTTCCACTCATGGCTGGAAGTAGAGGACTTCGCGGTGTTGTTTAGCTCTGTGATAAACTCGTCCGGATCTGACGAGTTCTGATGAGGTGTGAAAGCTCTGGGACGTCCCCTATTTCTTCAAACACTGGTACATCAATGCTCGTGGATTCAACACGTAGCGCTCGGAGTTGAGCAACTTGGTGAGATTCTGTGGCACGTGGGGCCGGGGCGCCATGTAGGACATGCCGGGGCTCACCGCCATCACCTCGGCAATCTTCTTCTTCATCTCACATATCTCCCTGTCCTGCTTCATCACCTTATCTGTCAGAGGAAGGTGTAGATGTAAGGAGATAGATACTGAATGAGCTGCAATGCATAGGATTTCTGTTATTTCTGCACTCGAATGTAAGCCGAGCAAGATTTTCTCTGTCCGTGCAAAATCCCCTTAATCTTGACCTTAAGCTCAAATCGCAGTAATGAGCTAGATGGATTATTCAAAGAAGACTTTATCTGAGCAGAAGTAGTCTAAACTCATCGCTAAGATTTGTGGTATCAAGTGTGTTATCTACATTTGGCTGAAATTCCCCACAAGGAGGAGAAGTAGTCGCGTGAGGTCTGACAACTGAAATGTTAAAACACCCTCTATTAAACCACAAAATCATTGGGTTTAATTTAATGGATTTTTGGTCGAATGCCTGAAATCAGATCTGCAGTTTAGCACAGCTCTGACATTTCTCCAGGCCTGAGACTGGCAGTAGGATTACAGTAGCCTGTCACCTCTAGAGGCTGGGGTTATGTCTCCACCTGCTCTCAAACTGGGAACATTTCACATGTTAAGTGAATGTGTTAACCACTACACCACAGAGCCACTTTCATAGTCTCTCACTAACCATTAAAAGCACTTGCCAAAGACAGTACAAAGGAAAAAATTAAGCTAGTGCAAAACTTTCTTTCTTTCTAATGGTCAGGAGGGGAATGCACGGTGAACAGCTCTCAGCAGCCTCGCTCTGTCACCTCAGTACACACTTTCTGATGCATACGCAGTCTCAACTGATAGTTTCAGGTCGTACTGATGAAACAAGAAGTTCACTTTGTAAATAAAGGTCCATGTTAGAGTCAGACAGCGGCATCATCCATGGTATGCTCAGAGGCTTGACCATCCGGTACCCTCAGTTTTTCAGGCAGATCAACCTTGAGGTTAAGGTGACAGAGATTTGAACACCTACTGTATCTTGGACGTCTATGCTGACAACAATACCCCATCGGCCTTTTACGACTGATGGGTAAAAAGCTGAAATGGCAAAACTGCTTCAAATCGGGACTTCATTAACCAATTGGTAACATCATGGTGGCTGCATCCATCTTTTATACTTTCTATGCTACTGACAAGTGGCTTAAAGGAAGATTACAGAAGTTCTTGGGGATAATACGCCTCATCGTATTATCCTAATCATACACAGTGGCACTGGCACTAGCTTTTTACTACTGCCAATTGGATTCAAGCTTCCAAAATACAACATATAAACAAAAGTACTGGAGCAACTACACACTACACCTACAGGAACTGCTCAGCAATGGAAACCCATGCCATGAAGCTCCCACTAAGCTCTTTAGAACAACTCAATCTTTCTTTTACAATTGCTTGTAAAGGCAATGTCACTGAACAAAAACTGAACTCAAAGATAAAGAGGTGTGGTCCAACACTATTGTCTATGTAATTTATCATAACTGGCATCAATTTGTGAAGAATTTGTTTCCAAATATGTTTTTGTGTATTTTATATATTTGTGATAACCCAAAAGTAATCAATTTGGCTTTTTTTTTTTTTGAGGGAACCACAACAATGCTAAAAGAAAAACATTAAATAAACAATTTTTAAAAATCCCAATAGTCACACAGTTGTGCTGTTCAATCCAACTCACAATTTGCCCCACATATCATAGTTTACTTTTCCTTGACAGTAATTTCTAATCTAATGGCAGTTTGCAGATCAAACTGAAGAAGGCGAAAAATACACAGTGATGTAAATCAGGGATGTCAAACTGATTTTACAGTCCGTTTAAAGCATATCATATTTGATACATGAGTTTTTGAGACTTTTACACCATCAGTATGATTTTTTCCTAATTAATATATAACGTTTTTCCCCAGAAGGTTGACTAAACACTTCATTTTCAAACAAATTGAATTTTCTGGCATTTATGTCATGGTTCAGGATTTAACGGATTAAGTGTGAATAATTTTAACTAGACACCAAATCCCTCAGAGATCTTAATATAAGAAAAACGGTAGATCTTCTACATGATAAAGAAATTGCTGAAAGTCATCTGACGACTCTTTGAGCATAAATTGTAAGAAATAAATGTATAAAATTACAGAAGAAATTCTGGTTAGTCACTGTCCAGACTGTCCTGTAATTATAAAATAGGTTTTGTTAAGTCACAGAAAATATATTTTCTTTTGGTTTTACATTAATGTGGACCCCTTTCTGTCATTTAATAGTTTATCTATCACTTAAGTACTTTGGTGTCATATGAATGCCAGTGGGGGAGGTCTTTATCCATATGTAAAACCTGTAAAACCTCTGAAAATACAATAAAAGTCCCAAATTTATGTCATAGTATCCTTCACATTTTCCAAAGATGTCAGGTGGGTTTGACACCCCTGATCTGAATTAATATCAGAAATAAGTATATCAACCTTGGGCGATTTCTAGCTGTCTGCGGGCGTCTCCCAGCGCAGAGAAGAGGTCCAGTTTGATGCGAGTCTCAGCGCTCAGGTTGTACTCCAGATGTTGAGCCTTTTCCTGCATGGCTGACAAAGTGGACAGCAGCATATCTGTCTCTTTTTCCACACAGCGGTACTTTCCCAGAGCCTGAGTCCAGAGAACACATTAGCGGTAAGAATAAGTGCAAAACATCAAAATGCCAGTAGTAATTCCTGCAGCAACCACCTGTGGGAGTTGGTGCTTTGGTTTCCTGAGTATCTTTTTTTTTGTATTTCAGACAGGCACAGTTTACGCTCAGAAAACCAATGCACCACACACATAATTACTTCCAAACAGTGATGACGGCCAGCCAGCCATTCAAAAAACATAAAATCTGCAGCACATTATCATTAAGATATTTTGAAAGATGACTCTTTCTGGGTTAACAATTTGCCTTTTGTGAAAGGTGATAAAAACGTGTAATGTTTTTGTGAAAGACCTGGCTTCTAGTACAGCATGCTCCATGGAAAGTATGCCACTAAAATGACATCAAATACCACACAGAACCACAATTTACACACCTAATGTCACACAAAAACACCCATACAGTAATGCTGCATACTGATGTGATGACAGTGCATTATGGTGACCGCAGGCCAAAATAAAACGGATAACAAAAAAAATGCTCAAGTTCCTCAATGAAAACCATTCTGTTTTCTTAGAGAACAAAAGGAGTAAACACACAAAAATCAGAAACAGCAAATCAAACGGCAAAAGAAGGACTTCATGACCAAACTGAGGACAACCGAGCACTGGATCACTTGAGACTCACAGACACTTAAATGCACAAGTTCATTCCCAAATAGAGTAAAAAGATACCTCAACATCACTCTCTAGATCTACCACACGACTCTCTTTCACTTGATACTCCAGTTGTAGTTGTTTGTACTCTGTCTCTAGCTCTTTAACCTTTTTCCTTAACATTTGGGTTTCACAGTGTTCCTGCCTGGTGTGGGAAACGGAGAAAATGAGAGCGTTTGAGCAGTGACAGAGAGGCTTTGGCGGGAACTGAAGACCAGTTTCCACAGAAAGAAGCAGAACATTTGATTTGCATTATAAACACTGATGTTTTCTTTTTCAATTATTTTGAACACACACAAGAGAGATTTCTTTAAAAGAAGTAACTGCTTATGGTAGATTAAAGAATCATCTGTTTTCTTGCAGAGAATTAGAGGAAAAGATCAATGTCACTCTTGGTTAGCTTAGAGCTAAGACAGGAACGCGGGAAAAGCAGCTAGCTCGGCTTTGTTCAAAGATAGCATACGCTCTTTGGCCACTCAAGTACGCCTGTTGAACAGCTCATTAGCGCAAATATCTCATCAGCCAATTACATGGAAGCAACTCAGTTCATTCAAGCTTGCAGATTCATTCAAATAGATCAGAATGAAGAATAAAAGCGATCAAAGTCACTTTGTTTGTAGCACAGCGAATTGTGCCAGTATTTCAGAAAGTGATGATCTACTGGAATTTTCCCACACAACCATCTCTAGGGTTTACAGAGAAGGTCAAGAAGAGAAAATATCCAGTCAGTAGCACTTCTCTGGGAGAAAATGCCTTATTTTGTTTTTTAAAACGTGTCAACCCTGTATTGGACTATTTCTTGGCTAACCTTTAGCGAAAGAATGCCAAATTAAACAGTAAAGTGTCGGTTAGCATGGTTTCAGTCCCACAGGCTTCAACACTGGTAAATGTATTCCCAACCAGTTGGTGAGTGGTTGTAAAGCTGTTCACAAAGGATGCTGCACTGAAAACTTCTTTCAATTGCTTTGATTACTAGCAGGTTGCCATGGTCGCCCCTATTTTACATGGAAGTCGCTGACTTGCCTGCAAATGCTGGATAACTATTTACTGTGCTGTAGTGGAACTTCAAAAACTGCGACATAACCCAGAAATGGAGTTCAGTGACTTTCTAAGCAAATGTTGTAACTGCATGTGTTGACCCAACATGTATTTATGTTTCTACGGAGGTTACACCATAGGTTGCAGTATAGGATTTCAGTGGAGGTTGCAGTTACGACATACCTATGGTACAGACTTCCTGCTGAATCATAATTCTTGCTGTAAGGATGACCGTGGAAATCTGTGAGCAACCAAAGCAGCTGCAAGGTAGTTTTCTTTGTAGCACTCTCTTTGCAATCGATTTCACCGACCAACTCCCAGCAACATGCTGAGCAGTTAAGGAATACACATTTTTACTTAGCAAGTGCTGGTTGCCAGAGGGCCACTGACTGGTCTCTGGGCCTGCGTGACTGAGGCTTAAGGTCTAAGTGATGACTGGCAGCCTTCTTAACCTCTGAACAACGCAAGGCTAACTGGCTAAGGAAGGCTACTCAAAATAATGTTAATCTCCTCATCTAACTCTCAACAAGAAAGCAAGTAAACATCATTTAAACCAAATGTTTGGCCACATGCTTACAGCAACATTTAACTCAGAGCAAGTTTCAGGAAATATAAGAGGCGATTTAAAAGTGTGGGTTACCTGTTTGTTAGACTCCGCGCTGTGCTCGCCGCCTCCTCCAGTTTTTGAGCCTGAAGCTCAGCCAACTGCTTCTCAGCAGAGAGTCTGGCCTCTGCCTCTGCTCTGGTCTTCTTCTCCAGCATCACACAAGTCTGCTTGTCCCTCTGCTTGTTTTTAGTTAGGCACAGAATCCTGAAGGGATGACATTAAAGTGGTTTTAAATAAGTTGCAGAAAAAGAGCATCAATATGTGGGTTACTGCCACATGCAAATGGACTCGTTTGAGATCAGCATCAAGCATACTTCAAAAACAGACATAAATGTTGAACAGGTTTCTTATCATCCTTGTAGTTGTTGTAGTCACTGGAGAGCACCTTCCTTTAAAAAAACTGGAGCATGTCTTATCAAAGCTGGTGGTGCTGATCAAAACTGCATAACATGCTCTTCTCAAATGCGATTTTATAGCCTTTGGCTGCCGGACGTGGCTTTGATGTGGTAAATGTGTTAGGAGTACCTCTGTAGTGGGATAAAATAACTAACTGAGCCTCCCTCCCCCCATTTTTTAGCTCTAAATGTGCTTAGAGTGATAATCTGAGTCACATATTGGAGGAAAAGGAGGAGTGGAAACAAAATTTGCATTAAAAAACATAAGAAAAGTAGATACTGTGGCAAAGTACAGGTAATAAAAATGGTTTGTGCGACAAAGCAGGTCTGCAGCAGCAAAGTCAGTGATCTCATCATATTCTCTTTTATATAGTGATATGCTATACTTCATTCATACAGCACATTCACCTGATCTGATATTGTAGCTTTACACACAAACCTTTTGTTTTTCTTGTGCAGGTTTTTAATTCTACAGTGACAGTTAAGTTCAAATCGTTTGCTTTGTTTTATGGACAGAAGAAACCATTTCATTGTCACTTTAGGTTTGGGTAAGATGGGATAAACATTTTTTCATATTTACTGACAGTAGCTATGGTATTTTAAGTACTATAAAATCCGGTTTTGTGTGATAACAACTGGTGCACTACTCGAAAAGTAGAGGGTTAAAAGTCTACAATATAATATCTTTAGGTAGCTTTTGCCTGTTTAGTTATTTATTCCCATGAAAAGGATTCAAAGACACTCACTTGCTCTGGAGAAGCATGTTGGACTGTCTGAGCAGGGAAACCTCTGGTCTAAGGCTCCTCTCGCTGTTGGTCAGGTTGCAGATGTGACTTCGAAGCTCCTGTTCGGTCTGCCTGCTCGACTGCAGCTCACTCTTCAGCCTCCTCAGCTCCTGCTCCAGCCTTCGAGATAAAAAACAATATTTTAGCACTGCTGTAAGCATCACCCGAGTCAAGCTTAGCTAAATACTTACTTGCTTGTCTGTTCAGTGTGGTAACTCTGAGCTGCTGTGGCGCTCTGAGCTGCTGCGTCCCTGTTGGGGCTGACTGTTTTGGAGCTGGACCTGTGTTTCTTCTCAGTCCTTCCCGCAGGAGGTGAAGGAGTATTTGAGCTGCTTCTTCTGACTTTTGGTGAGGAGTTCTTAGCTGCTCGCGTTGCTTTGCTGCCGTGCTCCTCTTGAGGTAGATTTTCTGGAGTTGTTGATGATTCCGGTCCTCCTGTGCTGCTGTGCAGCAGATCTTTGGACTCACCCACACTGGGTTTGGATGATGACGACGATGACGATGGTGGCCGGCGGTTTGGTTCGGCTGACCTCACCTCCTGTGACCCTTTCTCTGTTGCTCTCTCCTCGCTGCGGATCTGGAGGCAGTCCACGGTGTGTGCCTCATCTTGGGCCACCACAGCACCGTTCTGACACTGATACTGACTCGACTCAGGCTTGACTTTCCATTTGGAGGCTGTAAAAACAAAACAGGTCAGTTTTAGGAGTCTACTATGGAGCTCAGAAACATCTAGGATGAGTAAACATTTATGGCTATCCTCACTTTGGTATGAACTAACATTTAAAACTTTAAACAGGGCCAGCATCAGTCACTAGAATTACTTATTAATCACAATGAATTCTCACTGACTTAATCCAACCAAAAGATTTGCCTGCAGTCCTTTCACTAATCCTATGGAGTGATAAACAGGTTCTCCACTGCTTTGCACAGTTTACACCAGGGATGTCAAATCCAGTTTACATCATGGGGCACACACAGCCCACTTTGATCTTAAGTGCACCCGAAACACCCCTTTCTGTCAGTGTTTAAATTAAATAAATATAAGAAAAACTCAGTTTTTCTTATATTAAGAAAATCTCAGGTCTTCTATATGATAAAGAAATGTTGCTATAGTGAAAGAAAGTCATCTGACAACTCTTTGAGCTTAAATTGTAAGAAAAACGTGTGAAATTACAGAAATCATTCTAACGGATCATTGCCCAAACTGTCCTGGAATAATAAAACATTCTCCTATTTGTTAAATTACAGAAAATAAATGTATGTATGTATGTAGGTAGGTATGTAGGAAGGTAGTACTGTGGGCACATTGTAAAAAAAACAGACATTTTTCCAATACATAGTTAAAAACACAAACTTTTCAGTGATTTAAATAGTCAAAATCACTCAATTACTTTGGTGTAGTATGAATGCCAGTGGGGGAGGTCTTTATCCATAGGAAAAGCTGTAAAACTTTTTAAAAGTCCAGCATAAGCTGGTTGAGAAAATGGGTGGATTTATGACGGGGACCACATTTTTTCATATTAGCATTATGTTGTTTTCAGTAAGACATGAAAGAAATAATTTGCTCTGTAAAGTGTGGGGTTATAAATTAAGATTTTTATTTAGACTTACTTTGGCCACCACAGGATTTTGAACCACAGTGGTTTCTACTTACATCTTTTATATACAGCCCAAATCTCACCAGTACTGACTAGTAATGTGTGCCGAGTTTGTAATTAGTAAAATAGCCAGAAAATGAAAACATGGGTAGACATGACTGTTTTTTGTTTTTTTTTAAAAAAAAAAAAGCAAACAAAATCTACATCTTAAAATTTCAAATTTATTTTTTATTATGCACGTATTGAAATTTCTTTTTTGTCAAAATTGTTTTAAAAATGTCCATTTTTGCACCTTTGCTTCTTATTCCTTTCCCTTCATCTCTGTCCATGTTAGTTTCTCCCCCTATCATGTAATTACCATATTAAATGATACATTTATACATCGGTATGCAGCACTTATCTATTTTCAGAAGCACTCTGAAATATTTTGATAGCACAAAGCGTCAAACAGTTGCAGTAACAAGAAGATTGCTTACTTTGTTGTGCCAGCAGCAACACATCATGTTCTAGGAGGTTATTAAATACAGTTTCAGCTTGGGACTTTTACTGTCTGCGTCTTCTCAGCGAACTGACTCACAAATGTTTGTTGTAATCACCTGACTGAGTGGCCCCATAAGTGGAGATTGTAATAAACTGTCAGCTTGAAAACAAGAACGACCGAAACCAAAAGAAGAGTGAAAAACCCTCCAGATAGTAAGAATGGTAGGTGGCAGTGTAAATGCATGGATGGTGCAGGTGCACAGACTCACTGCTGCTGCCATCTGTGCCTGTCTTGGGATAAACCTGCAGGCCTGGGGGGAGTGAGTGCTGAAGGAGGTGCATATGGAAGTCATTCTCACTCTGCACTGCTTTCTGTATGCGCAGCTTAAAGATGTTGGTGAAGTAGCAGGTGGCATCAAACCCCAGATAAACTACAGGATATCCAATACTGAAAGTGAATACAAGGCAGTTAGAATAGAATAGAACAGCCCTTTATTGTCATTGGACATGTACCAGGAATTTGTGGGTGCTCTGCATTAACTGTGCCGGAATAAATTATAAATATTAGAAAGTAGTCAGTATATAATATTTCAATGATGAAATATTAAATACTAAATCTAAACTTTATACGTTTTGTATCAAATAAACATACCAGTGAGCGGCAAAAAGATGGGACAGGTTGGCATGTGAGGTTTTAAGGTCTTTGAGTCGAAGTGAAGCCTCTGTGTACACGAGCAGGATCCACAGAGACACAGTTGATATACAGATGCCCTTCTCTGAGGAAAAATAATCAGACGAGAAGAAAATTACTAATAAATTAAAATAAGAGAATATTTTTGATTTTATGAGATGAAGAAAGTTGGGCAGATTTTGCCAAGTGGATGATAATTGTCATACTCACCTGTGTGCCATATGTAATTGAATAACACATAGGTGCTCGCCACAAAGAACAGCCAGTGCAAAGGAACAAAAATTAAACAAAAGATGTCCAGAGTGAAGGCAGCGCAAACAAAAACAACACAAATAACCTGCAAACAAAAAGGGAAAGAAAAACAACAACAACAGGAAAGTAAAATGTGAGTAATTCACTGAAAATAGAAGAAAAGCCATGTTCTTGTTCACTGCGTGAAGCCTACTACACATCACTGGCTGGCTTATCATCATCAGGGCCAGTGCACAGAATATGAAATCACACACAGCAGGAGTCCTCACCAGCCCATGGCAGTGGAAAGTGGTGTACACGCTCCCAAAGAAGAGCCAGCACGGCCACAGGTACTCCAGTCTGAATTCAAGGATGAAGTCTGCCAGCAGCACCAGTGTCCACATCACCATAAACTTCAGGAAGGTGTACGCGCTATAAAGACATGCAGACATTATTAAAAAGAAGAAAGAAAAAATCAATCCACCTTCATTATTATTATTTCACTTTGAGCTCATGGCTAACAAACGTGCCTCTTCCTCTGAATCCAGTAAATAAAGGCTGTCAGATAAAGCACCAGATACTCACACACAGCCCAGTATGAGACGAAACTGCAAAAACGGCATTAACCTCTAATTGAGCCAGCTGCGTCTTAAAAATACAGTCCTTCCTTTTAAGCAGGGCCACTATAACAAGAACAATGACTGTTCCCTCATTTTATTAGGCAGCCGCAAGCCAAACAGGAGCTGTGGTTTTCCTCCTTTGTTCTGCTCATCCATAGGCTGCTATCACATCACCCCTTCTTTGTTTGGTAACCATGGCAATATTTCATCTGGAGGAGAGAGGGAGCACCACAGCATCCTTCTGCAAGTCCACAACAGCCTTTCAATTTTACTTATAAAGGATGCATTTCAATTAATCTCACTTGTATTTATATTATAAGTAACTACTAACTGTGCAGGTTGTTCCACAAAAAATTAGAAAATAAATTAGAATCAGCTGGGAGAGGGCTTTTAAACAACATATTAAATTCATCCTAGAAGCCCAATATAGTCTTTTTTATTATCTTATTCTCCTTGAGTAGCATACTTAATTGGCCTAATAAAACTACTAAACAGAGCTGATGTAACTTTAGTTCTCTATATGATGTTATTGAAATAGCGCCCTTTATTGTATTTAGCACTAACACTAAATATAATTACCAAACAAGCTAGTGAAGTGTAAAGGAATCACCACAGCGTCTTTAATTCTCCAATCAAGTTCTTATCTGCTTTGTAATATTTCCAGTAGTGTAATTCAATTATATGTGTTTGTGTGAAATCACTGCACACAAAGAGCAAGAAATTTAATATGTGACTGGCACACAAAATAAAATAGGACGTCTAAATCTCAAAAATAAACACCATCTCTTGCACGTGTTTTTTGTGTAAAGAAAGAAAGAAAGAAAGAAAGAAAGAAAGAAAGAAAGAAAGAAAGAAAGGTGCAAAAAAAGAAAAAGTGGTGTTCCTTTCTTATTTGCGTGTCTTTTCTTGTCTGGACTCAGTCTAGACGCTTCCAGATTGTGTGTGCCAAATAAGCCAAACAGGAATGCGCGTTTGTTTCTATTTTTCCAAAGGACGAATGGAAATAAATAAACAAAACGCAATGTGGCCGTGTTAATTTCACGCGCGATTAAGAGTGGAGGATAGAGCAGGCAGTGAGAACGCAGATGAGACGAAAGCAGGCCGACGTCAACTTGCACAGCTTCTGTTTTTATTCTGTAAACAAGGCGGGCTGAAGTAACCCGGCGCAACATTTGCGCCTTAATTCCGCCGCACTGAGGCTAATTAAAGCGCCACGCTGGCTCATTTAGGATGTGAGGGGCGGATGGAGGTGATGGGATGCGAGTCAGACAGGTGAGCGGGATGACGACGGCTGAAATCTACACAAAGACGGCCACCACAACAAAAGCAGCCGCCGGGCGCCGCGGCTCGCTACCTTTCAGACAGCTTCTCCGTGATTTTCAGCTTTTTCATCTTCCGTAGCCTGTTCGCGTCCACATAACGTTTCTTCATCTTATGGCTTCTGCTCCCCGCGTGCTGATGTTGGACACACTGCAGCAGAGGCGACAGCGACGGGGGATAAACGACAGAGCCGAGAGGAAAGACAAAACAGCCCGGCTCCCTCTTTGTGGATGAAGATGCTCACTTCAACCTGTGATGATGTCTGCGAGCAAATGTAGAGGACCGACACTTCTGCGCATGCTCAGTGGAGGTTGTACCTACAAGCGTTTATCGCAGAAGGGGAGCAAATCAACACACTGTACACATGTGTTCTGTTAATTATGACACACACTGCACAAAAATACTAACCGGGCTCATTATAAGTTCGATAATAAAGGTGATTATCATTCAACTCTCAGTTTTTTAGTCTCTTTCAGTTCCTTGATTTGGTTTTAAACTCCATAATTTTACTGTTTCAATCCAAAGCGTGTCAAACATCAGGTCCGGGGACCCGGCAAAGACTCCTGTGCAGCCCACTGGACAGTTTTGGAAAATGTGATGGAGGGACTTCTAACTGTATTACAGCTTTTTCTACTGATCAGGACTCCCCCCTGCAGTAATTAAGTGAGAGATAAACACTGTCTACTATAGAAATTGCTTTTTTGTTTATTTTGTTTAGTTTTTCTTTTTGGGGGGTGGAGCCTTATTGAAATAAAAGCAAGACATTTTCTGCCAATTAACAAAAACTTCAGTTTTTTAATTAGCTAAAGGACAGGCTGGGCAATAAGCTATTACAACTTTTTCTGTAATTGTATACAGTATCTTACAATGAAAGCTCCAAAAGTTGTACTGGCAGATGATTTTCATTTACTACAGCAGCATGTCTTTGTCATGTAGAAAATACGGTTGAGACTGCATTACCTTTTTATATTAAGATATCTGAAGGATTAAATGTGTAGTTTACACTGATTTTTGCTGTTTTCACTGGTCTGGTCTAATTAATATAAAACTGATGTTAAATGAGTTGACAGGTGAGATGTTCATTTGTTATAGCAACATTAAGTTAAACGCAAGTAACTTAAATGTCTGTGAAGGTTCTCACAGAGCTCATTGTGAAACCTGGACCCACCCTATCGTGTGATTTCCTGCGGTCAGATGGCCCAGGGTGTGAGT